CCACTCATCAATAAATCCATCCATCCATCCATCCATCCAACCATCCATCCATCCATCCATCCATCCATCCATCCATCCATCCATCCAATGGATGGATTTTACTTATTTAACTGTGTGATTTTATTGTGTTTTTGTATTCAGTTTTTATTTTTTGTGTTCAGCACTTTGTTTCAGCAGTGGCTGATATTATGGCACTTTATAAATAAAGTTTGATTGATTGATTGATTGATTGATTGATCCATCATCCATCCATCCATCATCCATCCTTCATCTTCCTCTTGGTCCAGAGTCAGGTATCGGGGCATCAGCTTGATCATGTAAGGTCCTCTCTTTCCACAGCCTCTCTTCTCACTCTTCTGGATTACAGCCTGCTCTCACTACAGATTATGATGTCAGGACAGAGACATAAAGCTTCTCTTGAGAATATTCCACTGTTTGTACCTGTTGTTGCTGTCTGTCTGGACAGGGCTGAGTTTCTGGAGCAGGTGGTGTTGCRTGGTGGAACTCCTTCCACCATAAAGAAGTAAATCTTTCCATGTCATATGAGTTGGAGTCTACCGTCTGTGAGCTCCAGGGCTTCACTGCTCCAGCAAAGTGGACTATCTTTGCATTGTGGCCAAACCTGTAGAATAAAACACATCAATCTGTGGAGCGTAGGTCTTACTAACAAGAACCACACAGGACAGTATCTACAGTATGTACAGTTCCCTAAAACACTCAGTGAATCATTTGAGCCATTAAATCTGAGGGTGTTCACATCCYCAAACTGAAGACAACTCATAATCATAAAGAACTGATCCAAACTAACACTTCTGCATGATGAGGAGGCATTGCACACATCAGAAACAGGATATTTGGTGTTCAAACAAATAAAATGGTAATAGACAAGCTTAGAGTAGAACCTCTTCTTGTTCATAAAAAGACCAGTTGAGTTTGTTTGAGCATCAGGTAAAGGCACCTTCTGAGGAAAGGAGACCTCAGGGCAGATCAAGGACTCATTGAAGGGTTTTGTTCTGATATGGAACATCTTAAGGTGGCATCTCACCTTGCTGCAACTGTTAGAGACTAGTTGTGTCAGGATTGACAGAATAACCCAAGGCACAGGCAGGTTTCAAAAATCAAAAGGCACAAGGCCTTTAATGAAAAACTCAAAGAGACTGATAATACAGCAAAAACTCACTTGACTTGGAAGTAGACGAAGAACATGAAGCAGGACACGACCAGGTAGACAGAACAATGATCCGACAATGAGACAGAGACAAGACTGAGCTTAAATACACWGAAAACTAATGAGGGAACAGAAAACACCTGGGGAGAAACACMAGKGTAATCAGCAGTGTGATGTGGGGCAGCTGAGCAGAGACACACAGGGGGAACATAGAAACACTAGGAAGAACCAAGGCATAAAATGACAAACCATGACAAGTTGTTACCATCCAGCTGAATTCAGARTGTTTGTGACCAACAAACTGTGCAGCTGCAGTTTGAATGGTGTTTTTCACAACCCCAGCCTGTTTTTGTGTTCACAGTTTGTAAAGCTCTATTCTAGGTTGTGCACATTATTCTGTTGCCCACATCGTACCCACCTTAACCCATTTTATTCCTACCATGTCAGCTGCCTTTATGTTTATGATTTAGTTTTCTGGAGTATACTTCACAAAGATCGGGAGCATTTTGTTGCAGTTATTATTAATAATGAGTGTTAAATTTAGACCTGGACATGTTTGTTGTTACATTGTGCAGGTGTCAAAGTAAAGCTGTAGTGCTATAAAGACAGGTTGGAAATCCACGACAAACTTCGATTGGGTTTGAGATGAGTTTATGATGCCCTGGATGATGATTTTGTGAAAAAAAGTGTGTTCAAATGTTTCAACCACAAACATCAGGACTGTGAGCCTCTAAGACTCACAGGAGCAAATAAGAACACCTTAAACACTACAGASGTTCTGGAGACCTCCTCATGAATCCTGTTGACCAGTTCAGAGATGTACCACCTTCAGAAGTCCTCTGGATGAGGCAGCTGAAGAGCTCTGCTGTTAAATAGACAAACTACTGGATACAGCAAACCCTGTGTTGTGACAAAGTGTGTAACTGCAGTGTTTCCCCTACCATTATACAGGCGCACCCCCCCCCACCCGCGCCAATGAGACGGCCCGCCCCTCTAAGAATTTCACAGCATGTAGTCATTTTTATTTAAATAAGGCCAGATCAAGTCCAGAGCTATTTTTTTACGTCCCTCCATATCCACCTCTCACCAAACTTGGGGAAAAAGACGGCACAGAGTGAGGCTGAGCGCTGTTTGTGGTCCTCACAAAGATAGGAAGATGTGTGTGTGATTGACGTGTGTGTGATTAGACGCACAGCTC